CTCTCCTTTATTGCAAACCATCCCAGGTCACTACCCCTGCAAAAAATCCCATCTAAATTTAGAAAATACATGTAGGCGGAGGGTAGAGAGATGGATGGGCACCAGGAGATGAAGAGGAGGAGAAAACACAGCTGCGCACTTAGACTTCATATTGGTTGTCAGTGGCGAAGACTCAGGAGTTTCTTCTCATCACAGCTGCGCTGCTGACACATATGGCAGAGCAAGGACAGAGATGCCCTTTCAGCCACAGCCTGCTATTAAACTAAAATTAGAATCTTTAAAAAAAGAAGAGGAAAATTCAAGAATTTCATTATTATTATTATGAAGAAGCAGGGTCCTCTGACTGTGTCTGTCACTGCAGCATGTGTAGGGTAACCATGTGCAAAGGAATCCAGTAGGCTTCTTGTGTCTTTTGCAGTGGTGTGTGTATTTGTATGTGTATGAGATGGGAACAGAAGTTAGACAGGTCTTACTTGTCAGATGGGGAAGTGAAGAAAGCTGTCATCCACTCTAGTTTTGGAACAGTGAAAAGGAAACAAACCCTGGACAGCTTTTCTTCAGCTTGAAACAACACCAAATACAGTGGACCCTCCACATTCACTGGGGATGGAAGTGCAGGATCCCTGTAGAAGTGGGGAAAACAAAATAAAAAACACTATTTTTTAACCCGAGAGGACACCTCTGTAGGAATCTCTAGGTCCTCCACTGCAGCTCTATGGTCAACCTTAATTGGAGGTGGACCATAGAATCACACTGTCAGACCTACAAATGCCTAGAGAAATGTTTTCTCTAGGAATCTCTAGGCCCTCGGTCACAACTATGGTCAACTTGAAGCAGAGTTGTGCTGGAGGACCTAGAGATTCCTAGAGATAACATATTACTCAAATAATGAATAATCAAATCTGCAAAAATCAAAGCTGCAAATGTGGAGGGCTGACTGTATTAGTAGGGGAATATATTTCTGCCATAGATATCGGACATTTAGTACGCAGCATGAAAATATTACCATTACTGCCACTCTTTGTCGTATCTTACTTCTCCTGCCGCCTTTTCTACTACCAAAGGCTGAGATCCAAGATAGGGTGCTCAAAGTGCAGCTGCTCCATGTTTGTAGCTCCATGCCTTCCATTTCACACAGCTGCCAAGACAGTTGAGAATGTTGCTATAGTCTTTCAATGGCTTTGGAGGGCAGGCATGAAGCCTTATCTGGAGGAAGCCTCCTCTGATGAAGGAGGAGGAATGACAGGATGATGACCCCAGCTGGAGCCAAAAATGGCTGATGGTCCTGTGGTGACAGAAGCAGAGACAGGGCCTGGAGATTTGGAGGAGGAGATGAAGGTTTTGCATCTTGTTGTGCGCCAACAGTTAAAACACAGGGAACAGAAAAGCCAGAGATAATAAGGTCATCTGGGCTAATGTACTGCCAGCTATAATTTAGTTTGAGCCAATGTGGTGTAGTAGTTTGAATATTGGCCTATGACTTTGGAGACCAGGGTTCAATTCCCTACTCGCCCATAGAAACCCATTGGGTAATCTTGGGCGGTTACACACTCTCAGCCCCAGAAAACCCCATGATAGGCTTGCCTTAATATCACCATAACTTGAAAATAACTTAAAGGCAGACAGCAACAAATAATTTAACTCAACCAAGCTCATACTGGTGCTGCAGACAACAAATCTAGTGCCTTCTACTAACTTTGAAATCCTTGGCTTTGTGTATCTCTGACCTTTTGGCTTGACTCTGGACTAATCTCTCTGGCAATTCCCTTCACTGTTTCAGACTTAGTGCAGGATTGTTTGCTTCATTTGACTTTGGATTGCTTGGATTATGCTTCTGCTTCAACAAATAATTCGTATCACCTTGGGACTGGCTTGGCCTTTTTCCTGGTCAGGCTCTTTGGGCTGGAAGTATATGCTCCTGAGTACTTGTCTGCTTTAAAATAGGACTGCAGGGAAGGAAGAGGAGGAGAAAAAGAGAGAGGAGGAGGAGGAGGAGAAGGAATTAGTCAACAAAAGGTCATCTTGTTGTTTAGTCATTTCTCTTCCTCCTTCCACACCAGAAAAGTGGCATGATTTTGGATGGTATGCAGGAGGGTGGATAATGACCTTTTTTGTCTTGTTCAAAAATGTCCATGTGTATGTTACTTGTAGGACTCTGGCCATTATATTAGTACTACTGATACTATGTCTCCTAATTGCACCACCACTATATCATCATCACCACTAGTACTTCTACTTATATTACAAAATGTCCAATGGTAGTAGCGGCCAAGTCACATCCATTGCTCACATCCAAAAGATGTCTTTGGACAAATAAGAAAAAAACCACACACAACACACCACTCAATGCCTTGGATCAGCTAGGACCTTTTTCTTTGAGCCAGGGTTGGTGGGAGGGAATCGATTGGCCTGTTTCCTCCATAAGCTCCAGCCAACTTCTCCAACGGTCAAGGATGGTTGTGGAACCATCCATAGGTCCAAAGTAAGAATGGAAATTGTCCTACTTCAAGGTGGCCATTGTCCAGATGAGTGCCCTTATAATCCAAGAGGACAAACAATGGAGGATTGCAAGTTGTCCACCCTGACCTAGATGGTCACTGTATATTAGAACCCAATGTTATGAGGAGCGACACAGGGACATATAGCTCATGCCAACCAGCTCTACCAAAGCTGCAACTTGGCTTGTATCTTCACAGGGATTTCTCCCTTTGGAACCCTTCAAGATTGATTTAAACAGTATAACTCATCTCATTCACTCCTTGCCACGGAGGCCTGAATGAGCTGTTCAGGGAATGGTCTGCCTCTTTCTTATCTTTAAACGCACAGGGCATTTTGAATTGCTATGCTGGAAGGTGCATGGCTTCCTCTTTGTATGGAAAGCAGTGAGGCCTTGGGGGAGTTCTTGCCGCCATTTTGAAATGCCCATTGCAGCCTTCTGAGGCTGGCTTTTCCTATACTGGGAATGAGCTGGTGGTGGTGGTAGTGGTGGTGGCGGAGGAGGAGAAGGAGTAGTAGTAGTAGTATTATTTTGGTGGGGAAGGAGAAAAGCTTTCATTAGGATGCCACACCAGCTCACAGCTCTCACATTATGCTGAGTTTCATCCTCTGCCTTTAACATCTAAGAGTGCACAGGGGTTTATACTGGATTTAATGCAGAGTAATAAGCTGCCTTCTACTGGGACACACAATTGCAGAAATGAGAGCTTTCCTCCTCATGTAGTTAAGCAGGGATGTAATTCTTTGCTAATTTCATTGTTGAAGGAAGTAATTTTAGCAACTCTCTTCCTGTTGCAATGAAGCAGGGGTAGGCAACCTTTCCCCTTTAAGGGCCAAGGGACTTCAGCTCCCAGAAGCCTCAGCCATGTTGGCCAATAGTCCCATGTTGGCCAATAGCTCCTGGGATTCTGGGAGCTGAAGTCCCTCGGCCCTTAAAGGGGAAAGGTTGCCTACTCCTGCAATAAAGTCTTCAGAAACTGTGCCTGATCAAGACCTCCAATAACAACAAAAACCCACCAATGATACCTTCATTAGGACAACCCAAATGCACAATATCCATGTTGCAAGCTTTCGAAGGTCCACTGGCTTCTTCATCAGGCAAGGTGTTAAAAACCATACAGGAGAAAAATTTTTTGAAGATGTTAGTCCTAGGCCTGCATTTTGCTGTTTTTGTTCTTAGTTCAGATGGTATGGAGGGGTATCTCTTGCAGGCTGGCACCTTATCCTTCTGGCCATGTGGCTGCTAGGAAATTCTCAAAGTCCAGGAAATTTAGCATCTCTTTGCAACACAAAAAGATACTTCCTTTGGCATCCAGTATATCTCTATCCTTTGTGAAGCCACAGGCTCCTTTGTTAGGCAGAGGGTCAGGACCTGTAGTAGGAAAGGAGACAGAAATTTTGCTTATGACTAAGTCAGGTGGAAATTCAGGGAGCCATGGGTACCCCTGGCATCTATGGAAGGTGGCTAAGATGTCATCGTAGGAGAGAGCTGCGGGTCTCAAGATGAAAGAAGAAATGATAGCAAGGGTAAAACTATCAGTCTAGGATTGGATGGAAGGTCAGCATTGGTCTGGGCAGGTAATGGACAGTCCAGGAAAGCTGGGGACTGTTTCCTCTTTCTCGCCTCTCTCTCTCTCTCAGAGGAAGCAGAGTTGCATCTTGTCACTTCCAAGACAAGCAATGTTCCTACCACCACCTGATCAGAAGAGACATTTCATAAAAGCCCAATTTTGTTCCTGGTTGGCTTAGGGCTGGCAGATGAACACAGCAGGGACCCCGAGAAGAAGCTAGTTAGCTCTGCAAAAGCAATTTCCTCTCCCGGTACTTTTTTCTTTTTCTGCCATTTCCTTTTTCTCTCTAGAACAATGCAGGTGTGTTTGTGTGTGTGTATATGTTTGGGTCTAGAGGAAAACAATCATATCAGAAGGCAGATCTGCAGCTGTTGCCTGAGAAAACGTCCTTCAAGGGACATGCTCCCACATCCTCCCTTTTTTCCCCTCCCTTGAGGAAAATAAAAGATGAAAGGAGGCAGCATTGGAAGTGTGGGGAAATGATTTAAGAGAATCGCGCACATGATGGACATGTGCAAAGCTGCCGTAGGGGGGAACGGGCACCTTTTCTCTTTTGCAGTCTCTGGTTTTTCAACCAAAAGGATTCTTTCTAGCCTCAGATTTAATGTTTTGAATTCAGTGCCACAGCATGTGCAGACAGCGACTGGCTTAGAAGTCTAAAAGAGGCTGAGAAAAATTCAGGGAGGAAAAGGAGTAGAGCTATTTGGCTGCTACCGCTGATGAGGAGCCATCAGGGTTCAAGGCAGTGGGACTTTGAATCCCTCAATAGCTTTAAAAGAGGGGTGGGCAATTGCACAGGGGCTGGGGACCAGTTTCCCTCCAAGGGCTGTGCTCCCTGGCACGGCCAAATGTGGATCCCAACCTTGGTCTCCAGAGTCATAGGGTATGTCTACATGGACCGGATGAAATGGTTTCACCTAGTTCTCACGGGGAGCTGCTGTGGTGTAGTGGTCTGAGTGTTGGACTACATCTCTGGAGACCAGGGTTCGATTCCCAGCTTAGCCACAAAACCCACTGGACCTTGGGAAGGTCACATGCTCTCAGCCTCAGGGGAAGGCAATGGCAAACTTCTTCTGAACAAATCTTACTAAGAAAACCCTGTGATAGGTTCACCTTAGGGTCACCATAACTCGGAAATGACTTGAAGGCACACAACAACAACAGTTCTCACAGAGAGCTGTCCAAATAACATCTGGAATGACTGGGGTCAAATCCAAATATTTTCATCACATTTAATCCAGATTTTAAAAGTGATTTTTTCCCCTGGTTTTGAGTGCAAAATCTGGATATTTGTGTGTGCAAGGGACTGCACTCCATAGTGGAATCATTGTGACGCTGGGGGAGAAGTTCAGAAATACGTACATATGCACGCATGAAAAATCCCAGAGTGTGATTGATTGATTTAAAAGGAAGAACTGTAGAAATTTCTCCCAAAGTTGCCTCAGTGTGTGTGGCGATTGTGTAGACAAACCTGTGGTCACTGAAGATTGGGGTAACTTGAAGGTAAACTGGATTTTCCTGTCGGTGTAGATGTACCCCTAGTCCAAGCCAGAACATCGCACTGGTTCCTATAGGAACTGGAACTACTACCAATCTCTGCTCCTTAGTTGCCCCAGGGATGGGACCTACACTGAAGCCTGCATCGCTTGTGGGGCTCTGCTGTGTTTGCATCTCTCCCCCACAATGCAGCTGAGACTGGACCTTGTTGAACCCAGGCCAGGGCTGCTTGTGTTTGCGATGGGACTGCGTGCCATGTACCAATGCTGCAATAGTGGGAGAAGCGGAAGGAGATGCTGCTGTTCCAAGTGACTTCTTTTCTGTGGTTATTCGCGGCTGTGCAGCTCTGTAGGTGTGCAATGAAAAAAGACCTCGGAGAAAGCTAATGATTTCCAGGCTACAAATTCAATCAGGCTCTCAGGGAGGAAAGCGCCAGGTAGAGGAGGAGAAAGAGACAGAGGAGGGAAGGAAAGGGGAATGTTGAAAACCAGGCTCAATTCCCACTGTTGAGTTATAATGCTAGATCAAAGCACACAACTGGTAACACACTGAGACCAGGATCCCACCGTATGCACCTCTACCCATCCAATTCTGTACCCCTCGATTTTTCACAGATGAAAACATGGCCAGGCTCCACCAGAGTGTGGTCAAAATAGCACTCAGGTTTTCTACACTTGGTTCATGATCATTGTTGTTTTGCAGCTAACAATGTTGTTGTTGCTGTTGTTGTGTGCCTTCAAGTCATTTCTGACTTATGGAGACTCTAAGGCAGGGGTAGGCAACCTTTCCCTTTTAAGGGCTGAGGGACTTCAGCTCCCAGAAGCCTCAGCCATGTTGGCCAATAGCTCCTGGGATTCTGGGAGCTGAAGTCCCTCGGCCCTTAAAGGGGAAAGGTTGCCTACCCCTGCTCTAAGGTGAATCTATTGTGGGGTTTTCTTGGCTGAATTTGTCCAGAGAGGTTTTGCCTTAGCCTTCCTCTGAGGCTGAGAGATTGTGACTTGTCCAAGGTCACTTAGTGGGTTTCCATGGCTGAGCAGGAATTTGAACTAGTGTCCTAGTCCAACACCAAAACCACTGCACCACACTGGTTCTTGCAGCTAACAATATCTTCTCTTTCAAAACTGTCCAGCATCACATTTCACTTCTTCATCTCCCACCTTCTAAGTTTGTGTTTTGGAAATTTATTAAAATGTATTGCATTATTAATTGGAGGGGAAGGGGAGGTTCAATGAGCGAATTGTTCTTTAATTGGCTGGACCTTAGCAAAGAAGTGAGTCCTCTTTGACCCTAAACTACACCTAGATAGTGGCCAAAGGATGTCTTCTCCTTCCAAAGTTTTGTTCCTTGGAACCCTCCAACAAGATAGACAGAGGAAAAAAGGATGAAAAGCAAAGGGGCAAGGCTCCAAGACATTTTTTGTGAGGTTCTTGTTGCCTAGGAAACCACTTCCTTCCGTTCCTCCGCACCCCATATGCTTGCACCCCCCCGGATGGGTGGCAATGTTAAGAGAATAGTAGTTCTTCCATCCTGATGATTGTTTTACTTTTTATATTATTATTATTATTATTATTTATTATTTATTGTGTGCAAAGCTTAGTTTGGCATTCTGGAAGCCAGTGGCAATTGCTAGGCTCCTTCTGGCTCCACTAGCTTTTCTCTCAGAGCGTGAGCCAGCTATCTGGTGAAACAGACCCGGTGCAAAGCAGAGGAAGAAAAGAACAGCATCAAAGGCATTGATCAAAAGCATTGGAAGTTGGCGGCCGCAATTCTCTAGCCAGGAGGACCAGGTGCTTCTTGGGGATGTGAGCCCTGGATGGAACAAAGTTTGCAGAGCCTCCAGGGTCCATGCAAACTGGCAGAGATATTCACAGAGTTGGAGTGCTACAGTTGCACCCATCTTGTGCTTAAAGGGTGGTTCAGTATGCAATGCTTTCTGCCCTTCCACCTGCCCAGGGTGTTACATCGTGGAATGAATAAAGGCCATGGGCTGGCGACTTTGGCCAAAATCCAACAATGGAACTGAGTAGCAGAAATCTCCATCCAAAGCATTATGCATGTATTGTACTTAGGGATGTGATTCTTGACTAATTTTCTTCTGCAAAGAAACCATGAGTAATTTTTAGCTGTTTCCTTCCTGTTCCGAGAAAGTCTTCCAAGCTGCCACAATTTTCAAAGACCATTCTCAATCGGGAACTTATTCTGTACAAAATTCACATGTGGCTATTTTGGATGGAAAACAACTTTTTTTTTTTTTTTTTGCACAAGAAGCAGCATTATCTTGCAAAACATAACATTCCTGTGCAGAAATATCTTTTTCTCCTTAGAAAAAGTTGTTTCATGTGCAGAAATTGCTGCAGCTAGGGGCTTATTCTCTGTGAAATTTGCCCGTGATTTTGTGCAGAAAACATTTTGTGCACAGAAAATTTAGATTTCTGCACAAAACTACCACGTGAGAATTTTTGTGCAGAATAAGCCTTTAAAACCAAACAGTTTTAGAGGACTTTCTTGCAGCAAGAAGAACATTGCTAAAATTACTCATTGCTTCCTTTGAGAAGAAAATTAGCTAAGCATTATATCCCTGCTTTGGATTCAATGATTCAGACACCAGCTTTGCCAAACACAGCACTGAAGCTATGACTTTTTGGTTTGTTTAAACTATTTATTTTCTCCTGTTCAGCTCACCAGGTCACCCAGAGTAATGAATAGCAATAGTAATAGTAATAATAATAATAATAATAATAATATAGCAGTTTAAAAACAGATATGGCCCAAGATCATTATGCAACCAGCTGTGTGTCTGTCAATGTATCTGCTTGTTATCCAATAGTTCAATGGGGAATGTATAGTGGTTGTCTATGCAACTCCAGGGAAAGATATAGTTGACTGAAGACACTGGTGAATCATTACACACAGTCCAAGAATGTGAAACTTCATGGCTAGAGTCCTGCATGTTAGTCTCAACTAGAGCAGACCCATGGCTGAATCAGTTGCTCAATAGAGAACCAATGCATAGGTAAAGCCAATTGATTCAGTGCTTCTACTCTGATCTGGACAAAAAAATAGTCTTCAGGGTCATGTGAAATGCTCACACTTGCCGAACTCTGCTTTCGCGCCCATGAACCGAAAGCACCTGTTGCAAAGTGTGACTGCCTGTCTTAAGGAACAGCCAACATTTACTTGTGCACATGATAAGGAGTACAGGTTTGGATTTCAATCTAGCCTGCAGGTGTCAAATTGAAACTTGTTTAGGGAGGGATTTGCTTCCTCTTTGCTTCACTGCTTTTAGATTGGTTCTCCTTTGAAACATTTGTCCAGCTGGGCATTCAATTAATTTCCTGGTTCTAAAGGCACTTTGGATTTTGCCTGGTGATGGCAGAGGAAGAACATGGGATGATTCAGGTGTGTGTTTTTGTGTGTGTGTGTGAAATTGCTTCTGAAATGTCCTTTGCCTGGATAGTAATTTTAAATTCAGAATGGAAAGGGCCCTGTAAGAGTCCATTAGAAACATGCTTGGAGACCAAGGGTTGGAGCTGTGTGTGTGTGTGTAGAGCAACAAGGCCAAGGCCAAAAGACTTATGCGGTGCATTATACACTCTTGACAATGAGAGCTGTTTGAAAGTGGAGTAGACTGCCTTGAACGGTGGTGGATTTTGGATGTCTTAAAGCACAGGTTGGAGGGACATCTTTCAGAAGTGAGTGCTTTAGTTATGTATTCCTGCATAGCAGGGATTGGACTAGATCAGTGATTCCCAAACTTTGATCTTCCAGATGTTTTGGACTTCAGCTCCCAGATTTCCTGTTGGCCTTGGTGGCTGGGGACTTTGGGAGTTGAAGTCCAAAACACCTGGAGGACCAATGTTTGAGAATCACTGGACTAGATTCAGGTCCGATTCTGTACAACCAGGTTGCCAGGGATTCAAGTGCATTCTTGCATGCCTGAGAAATGTGTCCTCTTTCTTGCCTTGTGCAGCTAACTTGTGGGAGGAAACAGTGTCACCTCAGTTAGCAAAAGCATAAATCTCTCTGGAATCACTCTCTCCAGAAGTCCAGGTCATTGGAAGTGCAGCCCTAGATATAAGGAGCTGCCATGGCTCCAATGAGGAATCGTTTGGCTCATAGCCTCCTGCTCCCCACAATGCATTAATTACATCAAAACAAAGATAAGGAGTTTCTTTCAGCCTCAGTTTGGAATTAAAGTCACCTCACTCGATTCTGTGCTCCACTGACTTGGAAGCCCAAGGATGTTAAAAGTTCCTGGTTCACAAGATTTTCAACATCCCACTCTTTGAGATGTGAAGGAAAATTTATTGGGGAGGCCAGACTTCCTATTTGGGGAGCAATGCCCTCATTTTGTCCCTTCTGAGAAGATCCCACTCCTGTGGAAGCCACCAGCCACCATTGATCAGTTCTCTCTGGACATTTTCTTCAAGGAGATCAGACACAGAGGGACAATGGTGGGAGATTTTTACAAAGAATAGCCGAGGGAGTTCTCAGAGGCCAATGCCTC